ACACATCTCTTCCATCTTTATTTGACCCTCTAACTCTAGCACTCTCTATTCTAATTCTATTCTTTAAAAACTAAAAAAACTTGCCCCTTTTAGACTTGCACTCTATTCATTTACTAACTGCTTGTTTTCTTAAAAAAAACACTAGCTTCTCTAATCTTCTATTTATTTGTTTTCCTTTTATTTACTATACAATTAACAAAAGCAAAAAAAAGGCCTCTAACGCTAGCTTGCTCTATTCTTTTTCTATTCTATCTGTTTTCTTTTTATTTATTTTATAATAATAAAAAAAAAACCTTGCTATGTGTACTGCGTTAAGCTAACTAAAACTTATAGCACTTGCATATCATTGCTCTCTTGTTGATTTTAATTGCTTCCAATGTCCTCATTTGTAAGTCGCTTTGGATAAAAGCATCTGCTAAATGACTAAATGTAAATGTAAATACAATTTACATAGATTAGGGTTGTTATAGTTAACTAAAACAAAACCAACCCAAATAAAACTAATCCATTTTGTTACTTGAAATAAAATATACATAAAAAAAAAAATGATATATATATATATAAAAAAATTATTTTATTTCAGCTCGTTGCCAAAGCAACAGTTCACATTTAAACTAAACTGTTTATTTAGATTAAAACTAAATAAACTAAAAACAACAACAACAACTATATAAACATAAAAACACAACAAAATTACTGATACTTTAAAATTAAAGTGAAAACACTCTAAAAAGAAATAAAATCTAACTCAATATTAATTAAATTATTATAGTATATCAATGATACAAAAATAGCACTGGTGTAGATTTGCTGAAATTAAATAAACACAATTTTACACAATATTTAAAAACATAGAAAACATAAAATATGCAGTATCCTTTGACAAGGCTTTCAGCAGATTTGTTAAACTGACGCAATTGATCAAATGAGCTTGACTGTCAGGAAACAAAGTCGATTTGGTGCAACTTTGCCTATTATTTGGCCTGGTAGAATCTTTCAGCAAGGCACATTAACACAGGTTGCACCAAGGGGATTGTCCATGTAATAAGTGCACGGTAAGCCAATTTGCATAAAAGCAGCTAAATGACAAATTAGTTATTTGTAAGATGAGTAATCAGTGATGCAAAGCAACCTACTGTCTCGTTGGCTGTGCTGTTATTTTGGACTCAGGGAGTTTTGAAACATTACTGTCAGTGTTGACCCAGACATAACCTACTTCTCATGAAGCATGAATAGTGACGCTAAAACATGCGAGTCGTAATCTCATCAATGTTCTGATGAAAATGTGACATGTTTCTTCCATGTACTGTATGGACCCTTTTCACAAGACACATTTCAAAGGTCATCGGCATCGTAAATCCTCCGAAGTTTTTTGTATTTTTGTATTTTGATTTGAAAATGTATGTACATTTATAACACTATACTTTGTATTATTACCTTTGCATCAAATTACAAAAAACTAGTTAACGCTAATGCAAGGGTGTTTCTAACACAGCGTCTAAGGGAGTGACGGTAAATTTGACATCGTTCTCTCTACTGACTGCCGTTATCAGTCTCTCTTGATTTCTTTTCCTTTTTTTGAAAGTCATGAAAACACTTATCATGCATGGAGCTTATCTTTTGCTATTTGAGCAAATGGGAATGCCAAAAATATATTTGTGGCAGTCTCCCATTCATTGCTATAGAAGTTTACCCAACTATGACGACTTCTGCTGCTGAGAAACCCGGAAATGTGAAAAAGTTCTCTAGTCTGGATCATGTCTGAACAGTTCAGACTGGTCCTAGTTTTCTACCTTACCTGTCAGTGTGTTTTGATTCTATTTCCCTGCTGATGTTGAGCTACAATATCTCAGTTGTGCTCAGTGAAATTTTGGATCATCACACACACTCTAACTTGATTCTCTCTCTTTCTGTCATAGAGAAATTCCAGTATCTCTGGGGCATCGAGGGGCATGTACCAAGTGTCCGATCGACGTTCCTCCCCCAGCACTGCGTAAGTCTCATTCAAACCACTTCAATTTTTGCTGATGATATTCGTTTGTTTTATGCCTGCGGTAATTATGAGTGAAACGTCACGTCATCATTGTGTGTCAAACAGGGCCACCTTGAGGAACAAAGATGCATTGCACATATTCAGTCATCAGACATGTAAATATAGTTGTGCAGGAAAAAATACTTACACATTTACATACCTGGGGTCTCTAGCGACCCTATACACTTTTTACAAAAAATGTATCAGAAAACTGGCATTCTTTTATGTTTTACAATTTTTTTCTTGTTATATTGTTTATAATGAATAGATTGAGGAATACTAAGAAAGTTGATGTCTAACTTAAAAAATGGAGGAGGGAGAGGGTAGAGAATGATGTCCCGGGTCGCTAAAGACCCGAGGTATGCATTTAAGGGTTAAACTACGGTATCCTTTTAATAAACAAATGAAATAATGTCTTAATGGAAATCTAAAGATGCTTTTGTGTGTGTGTGTGTGTGTGAGGTTAGGGTTATAAAATTGTTTTATAAATGCTGTTTAATGAGGCTATAACTGGGCACATACAAATGCAGACAAATTGGACATATTATGAACCGCACTATTTTTAAGATTAAATGTTATTCTAGTGAAATTGTTTCAACCAGTCACCATCTGACTTTGAACATGACTAGTTCACATCATAAACAAATTACACTGGTTTTTATTTTTAGATCTTCATCTTCTTATGCGATTTCACCTAACACACCATAACCTTTCTGTGGCAGCTCTTTTAACAAGGTTCTGATCTGTGAATGAGACATCACCATCCATCTGTTGTGTGTGTGCATCTGCGCATGGGCCGTATCAAACCATTTGGTGCTCTGAGGGAAGGAAGGAGCAGCGTGGGTTTGCCTGGAGTCTGCTGTCCCTAAATTGACATCACAGACTCCACAGGTCTTCCTCATGAATCAGATGAGAGAGAGGCTTGAAATACCAGACCGCATATGACCACTGCTGTTCCTTTATTATGACATAACCACCATCATCCATCAATTATTAAGACATGAAATAAAGAAGTGGCATGTATAATACTGTTAAAAATGTGGGGACAATATGAAATTAACACTTTTATTTGGCAAGAATTGCAATAAATTGATCAAAAGTTACAGTAAAAACATTTATAATGTTACAAAAGTTTTTTGTTTCAAATAAATGCTATTCTTTTGAACTTTCTGTTCATCAAAGAATTCTGAAAAAAAATGTATCACTGTTTTCACAAAAATTGTGGACAGCTGTTTTCAACATTGATAATAAGAACACATTTTTTTTATTGAGCAGCAGATTAGCAAATTAAAATGATTTTTTGAAGGATCTTGTGACACTGAAATCTTGAGTAATGGCATTTGAAAATTCATCTTTGCCATCACAGGAATAAATTACATTTTAAAATATATTAAAATAGAACACAGATATTTTAAATTGTAATAACATTTCACAATACTGCTTTAATCTAAAGTTCTGTCGAATTAAACTATGAAACTATCGGCACAGGCTGACAGGTTCTTACTCAATCTGACATAATGGCATCATTAATCATATGGCGCAGCTGATTGGTTTCTTTTCGTATCAGCAGCTTGCTGCTCAACATTCAAATTCTCGCTACTTGCTGTAGCGGTTGCATCGTGCTTCAGAAACCCTCCACCTTCCCCAGCTCCACCTGTATAGATCTGCTACGGGGTAATTTCATGCATGTTATATATGGGGGTTATTTCATATATGTTATATGTGCAGCAGCAGCATTACCTA